ATAGAATTAAGCATCTATCCGATCTGATTTCATTTCCAGATTATCGCAAAAAAGAGAAAATCGTGACTATTACCGTCCGATCTAAGACGGAAAAATTGAATACAAGTCTCCCATCATGACTTCATTATGCAAGTCAGCGTGGGGCCATTGTCTAAGTTAATGACTAGGAATCGAAATCATTTTTGAGGTCACAGACGTACATGATTCATAAACTAGCTTCGATTCCGATACCGGAAGGACTGTAGAACAGTTAGTTCCGGTTGCTCTTTCTCCATCGTACATACAATCTGTTGTGTTGAGTTAAAGTCAGGGAGATCGCGATGGGTAGTGAACAGAATGAGGGTCTACGAGTACATATTTTTATACTTCCGAATAGCTGCATGCCATCTTGAAACATCTGAATTAGGCGCATTGTTAGTATCTTTTAATTCTGGAAGATTAAGTAGCATTTTTATAAATTGAATCGCTCAGAATTCATCAGCTAATCATAAGAATGTCATTTTATTACGTTATTTCTTTCAGGTGGAGTAATAGCACAACACAGCGTGAAAATACTGTAAATGCTAAAGAACTCTTTGATCGTTTGTAATTAAAAATGAGGAATTCTAATTACGCTTCCTGGCGTACAAAAAAATGTTAAATACAGCCGTAACATAACAACTTGTCCATCTTCATTAAGAATAATGAAACTTTTATCCAGCAATTAAATAGCTTTTAACTAATTAAGCAAAAAACGTGCGATCATGCCATTTAATTTAGAAAACATTCATTTGTATATAGATAATCAGCCATTTTGTGAATGCAGCGTGGATAATTTCGATGCTATTCTGGTTATTATACCAGGAAGGAAATCGATCAACGTTTCTAGAATGCACACTACGAGATCAGGTGACGAGAGAAGTTCACTATAGAAAAATCCACTACGTTCTAGAAACGGCGTGAATATGAAGAACAGAAAGTAAATTGTCATTGGACGCCAAGAAATTTGCCAAGCCTTTTTTTATAAACAAGAGGAAATGGTGGTGTGATTCCTCTTACCTTTTTTTTAATTAATTAATGAATTCATAAATCACTACAAATGAAATCTAAGGGCCAGCCAATGCAAAACAGCTGTCAAGTGGCATGCAAATTTAGGTTCTAGCTCAATAAAGCGGAGAGTAGGAGGGGTCCAGAGCGCCAGAAACTCAAAACTGATGAAGCCACAAATCTCCGACATATTAATCGGAACTTGTTTTTCCTGACCACCCACACAAAAGAAAAGAATCTCACAGTAATGACAAAACCTAATACAATTCACACAGAAAGCCAATTAAAACAATATATTAAAAAAAATCCCAATATATTATCAAAACAAGCAGCACATATGCTCCACCACTGGAGTGCAAGTTAAAAGAAATGATATTATTCAAAATTACCTGACAATAAAATTATTAGACCATGCTAATTAGCTCTGCAAAACGTTTACCATGGTACACGTAGGAAGACTTTACAAATATCTTAACGCCTAAACCTAAACTTATCTATATAATGGTCTTCTTCCTGTTACGGCTCTAGGCGCATCTAAGATGTCCTCAGCTCAGAAACGCTCAGGTCAAAAACCAGTGGCCAGTAGTGAGCAGCGATGCGAGGAACGTCACAAGGTAGGGGCTGCTTGCCTCGTTTTCCAAAATTTACGGTATAACAAAAACTCTAGAGAGAGAAAGACTGCTTGAAAATTGTCTGAGACAAAACTATAAAACAAAGCTGGAGGAGTGTGAATGGTTGTTCTCCGCAATGCCTTTCCACTAAAAGGAAGCAGATAGTATACAGCAAACTTACCGCTGCAGGTTAAAATCCCTTTAGAGAATGGACAGGGTAGCACCCAAACCAAAACAACCAACGAAGGTACAAAATAAAACGATACTACTCCATAAACTGGTGTTTGGGGCATTAATATCACAAAATCTGGAAGTAAACGAAACAACGCCCACACACAACCAAAACCACAATAGAAAGCAGACGCAAAATGGCGACGGACGCGTCTGCACACGTAAATGTTTAAGACAAGGTATCTTTATAGAAAATAAGGTATCTCGATAGGTAAAGAAGGTATCTAGATAGGAAAACAAATATTCATAACGGCTAGTACGTGTAGAAATCACAAGGTGGCGCACTGGTTGCCAATGGGCAGAACTACAGTGCTGAACAAAGTATCTACGAGAAACCATCGATATTTTATGGGGAAATTTCTGAGATAGTCGTTAATAATACCATAACATTAGTGTCCAGAAGATTTCAACGCAATACTGAGTCGCTGAGAAAGAAAGATATAATACCTACTTGTGAAATTATACAATCAATAACCTATGAAATGTGCCAAAAGAAAATCATTAAAAAGGGTTTGGCCTAGGAATCGGCATTCTACCATTAATAAGGAGAAACTCAAATCACTGATAAGTGATCCACATAGTAAAAAAAGATTACGTGATTTTGGCACGCGACACAACAACGCCATTTTCTTGGAAAAGACGCGCTTTCGTACACACCAACGTTGGCATGAAGGCCTAGCTCTGATGTAAGATATACAGGGAGAACCAAATTTGTCTGATGGCTTGAGTTCAATGTGTACGAGAGAGAAGCGCGAGAAGTGTGTATCAAAATATTTTATAAAAAGATAGAAGCCGGCTGAAGAACGAACGTCATCACCACATTGCCTAGCAACGGTGACGCAGAAGAAAATGTTCGCATATTCTTCTGCAATAGATTACGTTACTGTCAAATCCAAGTACCTAGTAGGTGTGATCGGACATTTAATTTAATATTTTGTTTTCTTTTTGATTAGAATTATTTATTTCAATTTTGATGCGACTCAGTTCTTTAATTTAATTTAGAATTATCTTTGATTTCCACCGATGATGATAAAATCAATACATCCTGAGTTATTGTTACATTTTGCGACAGCGAGTGGTCGGAAAATAAAATAATTCAAAACAATAAAATGACTTTTGGAACTTCCTCCAAAAAAATTTTGAAGGTGCTCTTCTTCAATTTTCAACACCCCCCCCCCAAACCATTGCGCCGCCCCCCTCTAGGCGGCTTCCCAAATACCTGTGACTAAGTGACCCTTCTGTCTCCTCAAATGCTGGATCCGCCCTTGGTCAAATGGTTAAGAGAAACAAATCATTATATTGTATATTTATACCCAGAGAGGTGTGGAGATGAAGATATTAGTATTATCAAGAGGCACAGTATGTGCTGTGATTTCCAATAAGAATTCCCGCTGTGTTGTGTGCGGAAGGTCAAGGCGCCAAACTGCGAGATCGACTGAATATTCAACATGACCTACTTCGATTCGGCGGTGTCGGAGTAAATTGAGCATTGTACGTAAACGAACAATAACAATAATTAACAGTGGTGAACCTGTCTGAGACACGCGATTCTGTAATATCGCGAAATGTGCTGTTCGTTCGATATACTCCGTGTTGATGAATATTTTTTATTGAATGCAGAAAAACAGACCACAACACAGCGCAGCGTATGCGGTATGTAACCATAACTACAAGGGTCTTTTTTTAAGTGAGAGCCGTTTCGTAATGGAGTCAGATGAAATTTATATATAAATCTAAATTGTATTTTCAACATAAGCATCATAAGCATTTGAACATGAGTCGGGTCGGAGCACCAGCTTCTGGATTCCGTCCTCAAAGAATACTGCCTCCTGACTGTAAAACCAGTTAGTTTCTTTCAACATGTCATCTTATTCCAATCGCTTTCCACCAAGAAATTCCTCAAGTTTTGGAAAAAGATAAATGTCTGATAGAGTGCTGTATCCACCATACAGTATCTCCCAACGAAACCCGTTCAGTTGCGTGTGTGTTCTTGCCGCAACATGAGGCCGAGCGTTGTCGTGAAGCAAAGCGATGCCGCTAGAGAGCTGGATGTGCCGGCGGGTTTGCATAGTGCGCCTAATTCAACAAGTTGCTGGTGAATTTCACCAAGAGGAGCTTGCTTATAAACCGAACTACTGAGCGCACTTCACAATCGCCAGGCTTACTGATTAACATGGCGAGAAACAAAGCAGTATTACCACACAACCAACACCGACAGATTATCATTGGGTAACTAAATTGCCTAATAGACTGACTCACCCTAACACTAAATAAAAAAATAAAAAATACATTTTTAAAAACAAGCTTTTTTATTTAGCTGTTCTTAAAATGGACTGAAATTTAGAAAAATCGTTTTCAGATTAGAAGTATTTAAACGATAATCAAACTCCTTCATCTCATATTTCAAATAAAGGCATGTTATTTTTTGACAGCAAGATGGCAAAAAAGGGTGTAACATGATTTTATTTGAATACTGGAGAAGAAGGAGCCTTAATACCGTTCGAATATTTTTTCAATCGGAATAAAAATATTTTTAATTTTTTAACTCATTTTATGAACAGCTAAATACAAGCTTATTTTAGGAAATGTTTATTCTTATTTAGTTTTAGCATCTATGTCAAATAACTAGTTTTGTGATTTATATATAATTTTCATATGTTTTATTAATTCAACTTCATTCTTGCTGTATTTATTTTATAAAATTTCGATAGATATAATCATATAATGATGAACCGATTTTTTTGGTCAGATCGCCATATGGAATTCGAAGTAATTTGTGTCATTAAGCCCTTTCATTTGATACCCATATCATGGCAATGACAATGGAAATTATAAATTGCAGCCATCATATTGAATTTAGAACGTTACTTTGCTTATTATGTTCCTTAGCAAGACCTTTCATTTGATTCCCATAGTATAGGGGTGCCTCTGAAAATTATTTTGCGATGGCCGCCATATAGAGTTCCATGGCCTCCCAGGGAAGCTGACTTTCTAGACGCAAAGTATCCGTCGTAATTGAGGGACAGTAAGTGACTTAAGCAGCGTTCTTACTTAATTACGTTGATCAACTTAAATCGAAACGAATATTTGTTCACACACATAATAAAAATTGATGCGCTAGTTTTTTCTAAAATGGCTGCCAACGACATTGTCCAAGCAGGCATAGAAGCTGTTCACGAATTATTAAATGAAAAAATCAGAGACATTTTGTCAAAATTTGACAGAAAATCCAGAAAACGTCGGTTTTGGGTCAGGACTTGTATATTACGAAGAAATAAATTTGGCGTTTCAGGGACCCTGCTCAAGGAGCTGGCTTTAGAGGAAATGGATACCTACAAAAATCATTTGAGAATGCTCGAAGAACAATTTCAAGGATTTCTTCTAAATACAAAAACAAGATACCATTTGCGATGATAGTTAAAGCGTTGTCTCTAGCATCCTTGTTTCGATAACTCTCGAGCAGGGTATTCCATAAACAGCCATGCTGTTGATATAAATCCAAAAAATGTAGCACAATACTTTCACACGACTTCATGCTCAGTTTTTGTCTTTTTTTCCACACACAACAAGCACAACTTGTCTGAAAATCGCATTAAGTTGAATGGATCAAACTCTTTCGGTTCAACTAAAATTGATCAACTAAAATCGAAAACACGGTTCACAAGTATATTTTTATTCGATTTTTGTTCATCAATAAAAATCGTTCTACTAAAATCGACTCGTGAGAACGCTGCTTTAGCGCTCATTCGATTTCGATGGATAGCCGAGTTCTACCGTTCATTTCGGCTGGCTGAGTTCCGATCATCAAGGATTTAATCTGGCACGAACTCATCTCGTTAATAGCCGCAGCTGCTGGGCTGTCTATTTAGGGTGTAATGAAAGTATCTAAATGTGCGTCATGTAATTGATAACGTAGATAACCACATCAGAATAAAAAATCCCTACTGGTAATCTTGCGTTCTGTAGCATTTTCTTCCGTTTTTGCCGAGAAGCATGTCTTTTATAATTGCTGTTCCTCATATCCCACAGTGATCTTTTCTCGTACATAATTTGCGTCAATTTATCGTTGATCATGTTGAAATAACCAACGACTTCATAAGAGTTAGACTACGCGTTCTAGGGGAATTGTTAGAAGCCTGTTTGTATACATATCAGCATAACATTAATATTAATAATAATAATAGACGTCTTGATTTATCCACAATTACATTGTAGTATAGCCAAATGTCAGACTTACATGGCGAAGTTTTGCATGCTGCTACTCTTACACTTAACCATATAGTCTCTAGCAGATGTTCAAAAGTGTACACTATCCACAAACAGTTTTGGTTCATTACATCGAAAGTAAAATTTAAAAAAAGAGAAAAAGGCATACTTTCCAAACCCAAGTACACCAAAAAATTATTAATCTGAATTAAAGATGGAATAAAAAAGAAAGGAATGATTACGTAAATTATATGTTTGGAGGGTTGAGTAATAATGTTTTAACTTTTTGTCGAAAGACAGGTAAAGAAAATTCTTTATATACTTTAGGAAGGTCATTATAAATAATAGGAACATTGTAAGAAAAACTGCGTTTAAAAAGTGTAGACGTATGCAGGGATATTCTAATATTATTTTCTCTGAGAGTTCTACAGTGAACATCATTATTAAATGAAATGTTTTCCCTCAAGTAATAAAGTTTAGACGTGAGCAGCAATTTGTGAACAAAAGCTGAATAGTGATACTTGACCATGTCATTAATTTTTAACCAGTTTTGAACGGGATATTTCGCTGAGACATTTTCAAATTTATGTAAGCCAAAGATGAGACGTATAACTTGAATAACGTTTTTAGTGAAATTGTCTAAACAAGTATAGTATACGATATTACAATAATTTAGTATAGATATGACCAATGCATCACAGAGTTTTTTACGCAACTTAAAATTTAGTAAGTACCTGTTTGATATAAGAGTGCGCAGCCGTAGGTAGGTTTTCTGAGATAGACATTTAACATGTTCAATAAACCTTAATTTTGTGTCAAAAACAACACCAAGAATTTTTGCAGAATCAGAAAATTGCAAGATTTGGTTATTTATCTGAATGTTCAAGAGCAGTGTTACATTGTACGTTTTTCTTGGTGCGCATAATAATAACATTTTAGATTTTTGTGGATTAATAAGTAGATTGTGATCTAAAGAGTATTTAATTAATTTATTAACATCGTTTTGTAAAATTTGAGTAGTATTATTGACATTATCTGGGTTAAAATAATGGAGCAATTGCGTATCGACATGAGAATTATCAATACTTTTGCTTAAGTCGAACGTATATATGAGGAACAGAAGCGGCCCCAATAGAGAGCCCTGAGGTTCGCCTGAGGGAATTATTATCACTTGAAACATTTCTTGATTGAGAAAAACACACTGGGTTCTTTGATGAAGGCAACTGTCGAAAAATGAAAGGCATACACTGTCAAGACCTATGTAATTTAATTTAGCAAGTAATAATTTATGATTGATGGTGTCAAAGGCTTTCGAATAGTCTATAGAGATTAAGGCTAGTGCCAATTTCTTATCTAAGGCACTTAAAATATTGTCTTGCAGATTAAGTAGGGCAGATGTTGTACCATAATTTTTTCTAAAACGGGATTGAGTGTCGGGAAGTATAAAGAATTTTTCTAGGTAAGCGGTCAATTGGAACTTTGGAATTTTTTCTAAAATTTTGTATAAAATTGGTAATAAACTGATAGGTCTGAGATCATTATACTCAGTGGGTTTAATTTTTTTAGGAATTGGAATAATTAGAGCTTGTTTCCATGTGTTTGGAAAGTAGCCTTTTCCAAACAGTCGTTAAAGATGTGGACGATGTGATGGAGAATAACTGGCAGGCAAGGCTGGATCATTGACAGGGATATACCATCAATTCCCTTCGCATCAGATTTTAGGCTCCCTATTGCCTGTAATACGTCATTTGAACTAATCTTATTCCATGAAAAAATATATTCAGAGCTTAATTTATTTTTGAAATAGTATTCACAAACTAGTTAATCAACAGGTTTGTAGCTATAAACAGACATAAAATAATCATTAATTTTGGTACGATCATTAAAATTTGCCGGAAGGGTTGTTTTACTACGAAAATCTATATCAAGTTGTTTGAGAGACTTTCACAATTTTTTTGAATCATTTTCATTTGCCAAATTTTCGATATAAGTATGTCTTTTTGTCCCTCCTGATCATGTAAAGAGCACGGTTTCTAAGCGATTTGAAGTTATTATAGGCGTCCAGGGTCTTATTAGTTTTATATAAAGCTTGTGCAGTATTCTTTTCATCAAGAATAGTGCGCAGTTCATTAGTTAACCAAGGTGATGGTGGCTTATTAACTCTTACAGTTTTAGAAGGTGCATGTTTATTATAGGTTTCCACGATAACGCTTGTAATGTGCATTACCTTCTCATCAATATTAGATTTCGTAAATAATTCATCTATGCCCGATGTAGAAAGATCGATAAGAAAATGATCCTCCCTGAAATGTTTAAAATCCCTGATTGTGATAAATTTTTGTTTTCTTTTATAAGATGGAATGTCAAAATGAAAAAATACGAGTTTGTGGTCCGAAATACCATTCGTGTCCATGACGGAAGAATAGCTGCATGTTTGAGGATTATTTAAAAATATTGGATCGATTAATGTTGCAGTACCAGCTGTGACACAGGTGGCTTCCGTTACGATTTGTGTGAACCCCATCAGCTCAAAACTCAGTGAGAATATATTGTTATTAAACAAATTTATATTCAGATCTCCCAATATCACGATGTTATGATGATATAACGAGGGGCTGGGTAGGAAACCATTTAATAAATCTGCACATTGTTGTATGTTTTTAGAGGGTGGACGGTACAAAACACCTACTAACAGTTCACACTTACCCGCAAAAAATTTAACCCAAATGCTTTCGAAAATATCAACACAATTTGTATGAATATCTACCTTTTCAGCATGTATATTTGATTTAACATAGATTCCAACTCCACCACCACGAGATTCTCTATCACAACGCAAGAAATAATAGTTGCTAATATTAACCACATCATCAGTAATATTTTCATTTAGCTACGTCTCTGTAACAGCGAATACATCAAAATTTTTTAATGCTATTAAATTTACAATAGCATCAAAACTAGACATGAGGGAACGTACATTCAAGTGTCCGATCAGCATTTTACTACCAGCCATTAAGAGTATTTGAATCTTACATAATTTAGAAAAGATTTTGGGTATTCTAAATAATTCTAAAATGATCAAAATAAAATTCGTGAGAGATGTCTTTGTTGAAAGAATTCATACACTGGGCAATTTTTGTCTGTCGGAAGATGATCGGTACTGTAAGATTTTTTATACTGGTGATTTGAATACAAGCAATTGCAACATTTCGAATGTGCCTGCTTACAAAAGGAAGTGTCATGGTTTTCTCCACACTGAGCACAGACTTTAGGATTTTGGCATTTTTTTCAGAATGATTAAATCGGAAACAATTTGTACACTGAGACACTTCATTATTTTTGTATACAGATACATTTTGAAATCCTAATAGAACTTTTCCATTATAATCTTCAAAAATCTGTTTAAATAAATTACCTGTGACCTCTGTGTAAATAATATAATTTTTGTTGTGATTAATAAAATTTATCTTAATATCTTCTTTTTCTATGAAATGGTTCTGTCTTGTGATGTCTTCTACTACCTCTTCTTCGGCAATACGTTCATCTGTATGGTAGCCCACGATTTTGATTTTAGGTCTAAACATTTTCGGTTCAGACACCTGGTCCGATGCTGGCAATTTTTTCTGACTTTCTTCCTTTAACTGGGCATGAATACTTTCGTGGACCTTAATTTCCACACCACCGTTTCTAAAATTCTTCACGTCGTCAATTTTGATTTGAAGCTTAGACAAGCTTAAATTTTTGTCTAGATCTTTACGCGTCTTGAGGCTTGTTTGTTGCTGGCTTAGTATAATCACTATGCTTTTAAATGGGATTTCCTTGCTTTTTGTAGCATAGGTATTTTTTACAGTTTGCGAATACGAAGTGCTTGTCATACTTGATTATTCAATTATGTCAATCCTAGTATTCAGTTTCTTGAACGCGTCAACTACAGTTTCTTTTTCAGTAATATTTATCGACAATAAATTCAGCTGATCTTGAAATCTAGTGTTCCCGTTCACAAGTTGCTCAATCAATCTATCTTTTTCTATT